AAAAATCTCAAAAAGAATATTTTTAAAATTTTAAAATCTCAAATCAAGAAGGACTACAAAAATATGTTGTTATTCATCTTTTAAATATTGTCTATTGTTATTAAAATATAACAAACAGAAATTTTAAATTAAAAGATTTTTTTTCGATTCTCCTTTCTTATTACGGCATTGAATGGTCTAAATTTTGCCCCTATTGTTATGTTTTATTAGTTTCAGGAATTTTACTTTCTAATATTTTTATTTCAATTGAGTACAGACTAACATAAAATAATTTCTCATTTTTTATCAAATAAAAATTATACGGAATTATCAAATTCTGATTATATTTTCCACATACCATGACGATATACATATACGCACACATACAAACCAAGCATAAAAGGAAAGTAGGAAACTTGTTCATATATGCAAATTTAAAAGTTGAAAGAACCGCGTTGTGTAGTTTTAATTTTTTAGTGATACTAGTGATGACATTCAATGATATTGGTGATCCACGATGGTGGTGACTATGGTCTTTTGGATAGAAAGGAGTAGATTTATTCTCATTGTTGGTGGTCATTATAGTGAGATCGAATTTGAACTTTAATTCCTATGGTTTTAAAGAGTTTAAAAAGGACTTGATACGAATTCAATGATGTTGGCTTTTTAGCTAACACCTTTAAGTATAAGGATCAAAATCAAAACTCATTCAAGTTTTGTACTTTTAATAATGAATTTGGATTTTGGTCTCTATACTTAATAGTGTTGATTTAGATCAAATTCTTATAAAATTATAAAGACTAAAAATCATAATTTTTTCTTGGTTTCTCAAAGTATCCTCCAACTCAAACAGTAAAAGACTAATCTCTCAGGACAATGTCAAACATTGTAACGAGAACCTCTTCCCAAGATCAAACCCAGGACATGAGAAATTAAGGTGTACAAATCTCTTCTACTTGGATCAATATTTGTTGGTAAGAAAAAAATCACGATTTAAAACTACTTGGACCAGAACCATAACTATATGGCCTGTGATGTCTGATCCACAAGATACATCCATGGCCACATGATGCGTCATGCGTTCCACATTGGTAAAAGGTTTCTTTCTCAGATTTAGCTAAAGGAAAGTCTAAACTCTAAAGCCATCGAGGCCCAGGGCAATGAAAAATAACGTTTCATTGATTATATTCCGGATTTCAATTTCGTATATTTAATAAGGTTGATTTAGTAAAAAAGCTAATTTTTCATAATATGACGAATTGAAGTTTAAATCCCCGTCAAAGAGATGTCTGTATTTGGTACTTGATAATATCTTTAGTGAAAAAAAAAATTGTACATTTAAAGCCTTATAAGTTGACTAGTTGAGGATGCACTATACAGCGAATCAACATAAGCGTAGTTACATCAATAGCTGTAGCATTAGGATGTGGGAAGGGAAGAAAGTAGCGATTTTAAGAACAATATCCTCAAGGAGTAACAAAAACAAAAAAGAAAAAGGGCGAAGCTTCAATGCATGCCACATGGCAATAGTGAAGATCTTAAGGAATAGAATTTTTTTTAGGAAAAAAAAGAAACAAAAAACAAAAAGGGTAGTCCAAATTTTCCGAAGTTGAAAAAGAGGGAAAAAAAAGGAGGAGGAGAAAATCACAATCAAAGGACATTTCAAAATAAAAAGAAAAGATAATGAGTAGTTGAATGTGCCTGGAGTTTTGGATATTATTCTATGATATTGGATCTCTGTATATTAATTGAAAGGATAAATATAGGTAGTAATTAAAGGTATACATACAACATTATGGATAATAACATTTAATTACATAATATAGAAATAAGTACTCCTCTAATCCTTTTTATAACAACCTAAAATTTAAATTGCCTCGATCCTTTTTATGAAATCCTAAGTGTGGTTGTCTAAAAATTTAAACATTTAATGTGTTTTAACAATTTTTGCATTTAACTAATTTTATATATTACATTAATTAAAAAGTTTACAACTTGATATGTAACATTTTCTTTCATATTCTTTCTATTATACTTGCCCTTTATAAATAAAAGTATGTTTGGAAAAAAAATTCATTTCTTACATATTTATTATTTTTAACTAATTTTAATTATTTTTAAAATCACGTAATTCGAATATTAAGTTCTAATAAAAAAGATCATCAGGAGTAATAAATAAAAGGATCACTCATTTTTATTTGATTTTAGGTCATGAATTATACATTGTTTAAAGGTTTACAAAAGGACCGCATTATCGAGATATTAGCCATGATATATGCATAGCACAATTTATTAAAACTTTAAACGACTATAGTCCAAGTTTTTTTTTTTTTACTATCTTTAAAATGCAATCTAAATTTTAATTTCTTGATAATCTATTCTCCAATCACAAAGGCCAAATGCATCTTATGAAGTCTTGTTTGATAAAAGATTTATTAGATACTACATCCAGTCCCAATAAAATTCTTGTAATAATGATAGTTTTAACTAATACACTTGATTAATAAAAATATTTTAAGAAAAATAACACCTATTTATTACAAATAATGACTAACTTAAATAATTTTTTTAATCCACTCAAATTAATCAACTACCTTTTATATTAAAGATATGAGGTAGTATAAAGAAACAAGAAAAGCAACAAATTAATAAAATGAATGACAAATTATCTCTATCTTTTTTCTTAGAACTTTTCCTCTCATCATATTTATAAGTTTGGGAGAGAATATTTTTAGCCCTATTTATAAGTTATATTATTAAATTTTTAATCTAAAGGCAATATATTTTTCATTTATTATTGTGTAAATTGTTATTTTTTGAAAATTGTATTTAATATATTTAATTAATATAAAATTAAAAAGTTGTTAAATTTCAAGATATACTTAATAATAAGGTTTAAGGTCCTCATTAATTTTAACGAAACATGTTGAAAGTGACAAATAAATAAATAAATTTTAGAAATATTTATTATTGATTTATATGACTTATTAAAAAAATAGTTAAAAGGAAAGAAATCAAACTTTCCTGATTCATCTCATAAACATTGCATACAATAGCTCGTTAAATTCATGAATTATTGGCAACATAAGGGAATATAATTATAGGAAATGTAATGTAAATAGTATATAATAACGATGATAGAACCTTTGTCTGGTATGTCATCAAAGAATCATGAAATTTATATTTTATCTCAAAAACTATGTAATAACTATTAAAAATAAAAGATACAAATGTCTATAAGTAAATTCATAGTAGGTATAGATGTCCATACGCTAATTCAAGTAGGCTGTAATCCGAATTACATAGTCAAAATTATGTAATGAGATTTAGCTAATTTTGTTATAATATGTTGTAATTAGAATTAAGTTAGATCAGTGTATAAAAAAATTATGCTAGATTATTTTTTTATTTAATTATGAATTTTTCCTTTTGAAACGTAGAGCCTAAAGAGTTTTTGATTCTTTCAGTAAATACGCTTCCCAAAATTCGAACTAAACTATATGTTAGACTATTGTACTAGTATATCATTATGCCAACCAAAAATACACCAACGAGAATGCATGGGAATTACTAATTTCCTTTTAAAATTAGCTTGCATATCCAGAATAATTAATTAGGACAAAGCATGTGAATGAGGTGAAAAAATTAAAAAAAAAATCAGGAGAATTAATTGAATTCTATATTTATAAAAAGCCGAAAGAAAAATTGAGACGAACGTACAGTGATTAGCTTTTATATATAGTCCGCCCTTCATCACCGTGGTGACGCCTTCGTTGAAGAGACTACAAAGTACAACTTCACTTTTCAATCGTTTTCCTGAACTCTTTGATCCAAAATTCGTTCATTCTCGATTCTCTTTGCCTTTCTTCCTTTCTCGAATCACAAGCAAAGGTGCGAATCTCTCTCCCTTTCTTCTCTTAAATGCCATTCTCGTTTTTCACTTTTATTTTCCTACGTATGCTCACAGCTTTATTCATAGACACGACTCTTTTGAATCGGCAATCACGTTTTCTTTCTCTGCGTCATCTGTGTTCGACTGTCTTCTTAACATTTTTTGGCACATTCTGCCCCTCCTCTCTTGTTTCTGTTTGATTTACGCTGTTTATCTGGTTATGTCGTTGGATTTTCGCGCGGGATTTCAAGCTATTAGTGCCAAAGTCAAATGTGAATTGATCGTTGATGTTATTAAGTGTGGTTATACATGTGATTAATCTAATTTCTGGAAATTATACATTCATGAAACGTGATAATTTGAGTCTCTAGATGATAGTAAGTGATTATTCTATTGTGACATGCTTGTTTTGTTATCGTTTCAAATGAAAATTGGAAGGTGCAAGATTTGTTGCTTTAAAAGGAATATTGTTTTTCCACCTATTTTCTATTGTAACGTCAATGTGTGAATTGTATGTAACGTTGATTGAATAGGGAGGTTTCTACCTTTTGCGTGTTTTCCAAGTTTCGAATTATCCTTTCGATGTTTAAGATATGTGCCTTCCATTTTTGTCACGTGTTTTCTTGACATGAGTCTGAATTTTACTCTGTTAAAATTTTTTTCGAGAGGCGAAGATTGCGAACTTCTTGTGTTTATGTTTCCATTCGAAAGATTCGGTTTGTTTCCTTCCCACATTACAAATTTGATCATCTTTCCCCTCTATGATCGATATTGTTCATAATCTTTTCATCAACTGTTAGAAACCGTTGAAAATATCGAGACCGGAGAGAGTTTTAGCGTGCGAATTATTTTTATAAAGAATCAAATTATTGATAGTACTACCAAACAAAACAGTGCTTGAAAGTTATTTGAACTGATGGATTTATTTCGAAGTCACTGAAGAACACTTCGATATATTTTTCCAAAACTACTTTTGAATTTGTTCTTCAACTTCTTGCAGTTTGGTTACTGGGCATTCTTGAGGAGAATTAATCAAGGTCCTCTGCTGATGAGCTGAGAAATGAACATTGTATGAGAGCTATTTGATTGTGAGGATCACAGGGTAGAGAACTTGCTCTAGGAAGAACTGAGGAAAGTTCAGACCCATGATATTTTGACATCTTTCTATAATAGGGAGACCATGGGACGGGCTTCACTCTTATTTCTGCTTCTTTTGGTTCTTGGCTCTTCCTTTGCAACGTATAATGTGGTAACTATGATAATGCGCTACAGTTCTTCACAAAATTTGGCGATTCATTCCATGGATGATGGGTTGTTGTTTGACCCCATTATTGAGATGCCTAGGAAGATGAAAAATCGGAGGACAACTAGAGCACCCTTTCATGTTGCCTTAACATCAACTGATGCTCCATACAGCAAATGGCAGTCCCGGATCATGTATTACTGGTATAAACAGAAAAAGAATTTGCCTGGCTCAGAGATGGGAGGATTCACTCGAGTTCTACATTCAGGAACGGCTGACAACTTGATGGATGAAATTCCAACTGTTGTAGTTGATCCTCTTCCACCAGGTCTGGACCGGGTGAGCTTACTGTTTTCAAATCTATTTGTTAGCGGTTTTCTATCTTTACTAGCTGTTCTCTGTTATTTTATCTGACTGATTAAAAGACACATTACTTCTGGTGGAAAAATTTAATCATCTTTGAAGTTCTTGGTATATAGCCTTGCTGCAAATTTTCGTATGTTCATTTCCTAAGTTGATTGATTATATCATCTCTTTTATGACTTAGAATAAAGTAGGGGTCCGGAAATATGTATCAACCAGTAAAGATCATTACAGAATTTCAGTTTGGAACTGGTTCAGAGTCTTAACTTTCTTCAGTGGTAAACTGATTCTAGGAAATTAATATTAAGGGATTTTTCCCCCCTTTTCTGCCTTTTGAGAAATAATATTCAAAAGATTCAGATTTCAGCCTCCAAATGTTTACTGGGTAAATATTTTTTTCCTACGATTTAGAATTTTGCCTACATAATCCATGAAATATATTTATCTCTGAAGCAAAATGATATTGACCTGACATATTTCAAATTTGTTTTCCTATCTACTAGTTTTCATTTCTGTGTTTCAGTTTTCGTTCATCGTTATCATAAATATTCAGTTTTGAATGGCTTGCATGGAAGTTGCTTGTGCTTAATTTATAGCAGAAGAATGAACTTCTGTTCTGTTTTTTTTTTTTCTTTTTTTTTTTCAATTAATATTTACGAGGGTTTCTGACATATTACTTCTGTAAATTGTAGGGATATATTGTTTGAATAGACCATGGGCATTTGTTCAGTGGTTGCAACAGGCCACTATAGAGGAAGAGTATGATCTTTATTGAGATTGACCCATCTTTTATGTTAATAACGCACAAACTTGACTACCTCCACTTTCGATGCAGGTACGTATTGATGGCAGAACCTGATCACATTTTTATAAATCCTCTGCCTAATTTGGCTTATGGAGGACATCCTGCTGCTTTTCCATTTTTTTACATCAGGCCTGATCAGAATGAGAAAATTGTAAGGAAGTATTATCCTGAAGAGTTTGGACCAGTCACAAATATTGATCCAATTGGAAATTCTCCTGTAATTATTAAAAAGGTAGACGGAGTCCATATTATTGTTCATGATTGCATAATTTGCCATGCTCTCATCATTGTAGTAATTCTTTTAATTAAATAACAATTGCTGCTGCTGCTGCTGGTGCTCCTGCTTGTTTGTAGTTCATCGTCATTGTCTTGGATGATGATTGGCTGGGATAGCCTTTGATATTGCTTCTGGTTGTTTGTCTACAGGATTTGCTTGCAGAGATTGCTCCCACATGGATGAATGTTTCTTTGATGATGAAAGAGGACCCAGAGACTGATAACGCCTTTGGATGGGTGCTAGAAATGTATGTATGTCCGAAATATAGACAATTGATGTTGCAGTATGTTACATTTTAGTTCGTGAAGGAATATTTCCTGATGTTATTGTTGAATTTAGGTATGCTTATGCTATAGCATCTGCCCTTCATGGCGTGAGGCATATTTTGCGCAAAGACTTTATGCTGCAGGTTTGGCATAATCATATCATTTCTGGACGTGGGCTTAATTTTATATCATTATCAGCTTTAAGTGGGTTTTGTTTAGCAGTCATTCCTATTTCTGTAATCACGTTTTTCTCTATGCAACTTTTCAGCCTCCATGGGATCTTGAAACTAAGAACAAGTATATTCTTCATTATACTTATGGATGTGACTACAATTTAAAGGTAACGTGTTTTAAATCTTTCCCTGTCCTTGTATTATGGAAAAGTTTCAATCTTTGAATATATTATGATTATCATTCCTAAATCAGCACGGCTCCAGGGTATTGAGACTTGCATTATATTACATTGCGGAATACTGCTTGAGTAGACATCAACTTTTTTTCCCCACGAAGGAAAAGCACTCTTCTTTCATTTTAATTTTCTTGCTTCTTTAAGAGTTTAAGTACTGTATCGTGTTCCATGATTCTCAGGGTGAGTTGACCTATGGAAAAATTGGTGAGTGGAGATTCGACAAAAGGTCATACTTGCAAGGACCTATACCAAAAAATCTGCCTTTACCCCCACCTGGGGTTCCTGAAAGCGTGGTATGCCTGTCCTAAGCCAATTGTTTTAAGCAATGCACCTTATTTAGAAGAATTACTTTATCCAGCATGAAGTGCTTACTGTACTTGCAGTGTTTTATACTCTTAAAATTTTTTAACCCATGGTCACGGATTAGAGTCTTTATGCTATACATGCATATTTTCGTCTTTCCTGCACAGAATCTGAGAAGAAAATCAGTAAAATTTTTATGCATAGGCCCAAATATCTAAAATTTTGAATCAGGAACTAAAGAATTCCATTTTGTAGAAGTTATTTTCTTCCTCACAGTTTCCAGCCTTCAGAGTGTTGGCTTCTTATTCATCTCAAATGATTTTGTCGAGTTCTTTGAATGTCTAATTGCTTTAAAGTAGAGAAACACATTATTTATCCTATTGGTGATCCATATTTTAAGATTGTGTATGAAATGAAGTTTCTATAGGGAATGATTTGACATGTGACATTATTTCACTGCAGCATAGAGGCAGAACTATAAATATGTTAGAGACTTGGTTTGATCTATATAGGCCACTAGCACCAATACCGTAAAAATATCCATTTTTTAATGCTGCCTGACATTATTAGACAATGATGAAGATTGTCAGCCAATGTATGAGCTAGCTTGTGAAGCGAGCAAGTGTTGTCCGCGTTAGAACATTTGCTTGTCTTGCACATGTAGTGCTGCATGTAGTTATCTGATGTCCCTTGTTTTGAGCCTTAGAAACATTGGGATTGAGGGTTCTCTGTACAAATCAAGCTGTTCCTTTGGTGAGAAGGAAAGGAGATCTTTATTGAACGGGTGGGGAGAAGGAGGAGACAGATGGACCCTGCTAATGGATTCTATGGTGCATGAAATGTTCTTTCATCCTTCTTGCTTGCCCTCTCCACCTCTCCATTCTCTAGTGAATTGATGGAATTATATAAAGAGGAGAGTATATTTCTTGAGTTTTCTGATACTAGGGACTTGAGTTTTCTGTTTTGTTAAATGAAAGGTTATGGCAAAGCCATAGAAAGAAAAGAAGCAAAACAGGGTAATTTGAGAACTCTGTTTATCTAAGTCAACACAAGTAGTCTCTTACAGCTTATCGAAGGATCATTGAAAACATTAGATCGGCCTTTAATACCATATGCGACTCTAGCGATCAAATTAGCGCACTCATTAGTGTCCTGATATGCATGCCCTAGCAATCCAGTTCAATCAAAGAGAGATAAGTGCATAACATGTTAGACTCACCGAAATGGTGAATCTCATTTCAATCTGTGGGGCCAGCTTGAGTGATGGGCTCTAAACATTTTGTGCCTATTTCCTTTTGAGAATGACAATAAATCAGAAGAAGAAAAACAGAGATTCAAAATTGTGTAAGGTCAAGCATTCCTCCGTAGATTAAGGTGTTGGTTTGAACAAATGTAGGGAGCCCATTATGAATATTAGCCTCATTAGCTAGTGGGGCAAGAGCACCAGCAAGTACCACTACACTCCCAACATGCATAAATATAATAATGTCCATCGACACCAAGGTTCGTGCCCTCGTTTCCATGGCGCTCAGTTGCTTGCTTGGCCTTGAAGTTCGCCCTGCCTGCAAGGCACGTATAAGACAAGTTGCCCTATAGTTACGCCTTTTTTTTGACCAAGAACCTATAGTTACGCCTTAAATTTTAATGGTAGGCGGAGTGTGTATAAGAATTAGAAATCAAATTGTGTTGATGGATCAGGGGGGCGAAAAAAGGAAAAAGGAAAAGAACTGAGATGGGAGGGACTGTTGAATGAGAACTAAATATGTAGGTCAGAAGGTCTCACTATAAGAAACACAATAGGTTGTCATGTGGCAAAGGTGACAGGGGTCAAAACTTGGGCTTTGGCAAGAGCAACCGTTGGGTTTACCCATTCGGATTTGCTGGAGAAGTGATTTTATGCTACACAAAATAAATATATGGAGAGAAGTTTTGTCTTGTAAAGTACAAAAGTGTTTTATTTTAAGCTAATCTAATACAGCTTGTTTAGAGTTACTTTTACCATTTTAACCCTATCCTAATGTAGTTTTAACCTTAACGTGATTCTGAACATATGAGAGCCGAAGTGTAAACATCACAAGATGGGGGAGGGGGGATATGTCTTTTAAGTGCAAAGGCCTTTACTCGGATCACATTTCTATCCAAAAGAGATTTTTCTAACCAGGTGTCACTAGGTTAGAATGTAATAACATTATTTTTAGGCACTTATTTGACAGCTTAGACGTGTAATTTGAAATGGTCATGAATGATATGTATGTTGGAATATCTAAAATGCTTTTCCCCTTAGTGGTGACGAAGCAGTGCTAATCTATGTTATATGATAATGATGTTTGCAGGTGACTCTGGTAAAGATGGTGAACGAGGCTACTGCTAACATCCCTGATTGGGACTCATCATCCTAGTTTGGCTTTATTCATGTTTATCTTTAATGCAACTTGCATAAGAGGGGGGAAAAAAAGCTTTATATAGGACATTCTCACCGAAGAAGAGAGAAAAAAGAAAAAAGAAAAAAGAAAAAAAAAACTTTGTAGGACATATTTTTAATTTTTGATGAGTTTAGTCCTAGAATCATAGATTATTGTATACGTAACCTTGATAAGTTAAAAATGGAATGGATTTCTTTTATATTTAATATTTTTTAGGACAAAATTTACCTCTAGTTTCTTACAACCACCATCTTTTACAGCCATCATGTTAAATTTCTCAATATTGTCCTGTTTTTTTGACATCATCATTTAATTACTCATGTGAGGAAAAAAAAATAGGACATATGAGAAATTATGATCAGGAAACTTCACATAATGATTATAAAAAAGCTTGACTTTAAGTATTGTTCCCCCCCCCCCCCACCTTCCTAATCTGTTCTACATGAATGTTGGGGTAGCTGGCTCCTTGTTCCTTGATCTTGACGGAATAAATTTAGGTATATTTAATTATGTGCCATTGGTATACAGGGGCTTGTCGTTTCAACCTCGAAAATATGTGAAATCAAAAGAGCACCAAATAAAACGACGAATCCATTCTTTTTACGTTGTTTTCATTATGTTTGGATGCTCCCAAAGCAAATATGTATAATATTCTACCCGATACTGATGCTGATGTTAAATCTTAGGCGAATTTGTCAGAAGCCATTTCACTGTGATCTAAGATTTTGATGTCGGTGGCTTTTCTTTTAGCGCATATTCCATTTTTGTTCCCTTTTCTTTTTCTAATTTTTTTTATTTGTTTCTTTTTGGTACGACAATAAACTAATCAAAGGTCACAGCGTTTTGGAAGAGAGCATCAATCAAATGATACGTCCTTTATTATGCAGCAAAACAATGACTATGGCATCCTAAGTCATCAATATCACTATGTGTGGTGTGGGTGCGTGATTTCATCATTTCATTTTTATTCTCCTACGCCCTTTTTCAATATTAATTTAAACCACTCAAAAAATTTACAAGCAGGCTGCTGGATGTATATTTTTATTCATTCATGTATGCACGTTTATGATATATAATTATATAATAATCCTTCGTTTCTTAATATAAAATCTAATTATTGAGTTGATTTTAGTTCTAAATATAAGACTTATTTCTCACATTAATCAATTTTTGTTTAATTACCCTTATAGATACTCCCTCAACCCTAATCAAGTAGAAAAGGGAAATGGAATATTAAGGAAGATGATTATGGTGTTTTAGGAAAAATATGTCATATTTTTTATAATTAACTAACTTACCTAACTTTTTTTAATATAATCAAATTGGTTAAGTAGGTCTTATATTAAAGACCGGAGGAGTAATATAATTATAAAAGATATTTTATCTTTAATTAAATTTTTTGAGAAAAAAGGAAAAACATCACCTATTGATGTAATTTGTCTTTTTTTAATTTAAGGACAAGTGTTAATAACTTGAAGTAACAAACATGTTTAAACCCATAACCCATCGTCCGTGGGTTCAGCTGGCAAAGGGGTGAGACATATGACCAAGTTGGCATGTGTTCGATTCCTGGGGAGTATCACTTTGTTGTGGTTCCAGTCCCAACGCTTAGGGAGACATCCTAGCTCCTGGATGTCTAGGTAAACGCCTGAGGGTAATTGACGGCTCGCCCTGCCCAACATTAGTATGACCTAGGAGGAAGGGAGATTTCGCCCTGCCCTTGGATCGTGGGTGAGCCCAACCCCTTTTCAAAAATTTAAATATAAAAAAAAACATGTTTAAACTCAACCTCTCACTTGTTACAGAAAAATTTTCTCGCTATTAAGCTACGGTTTCATTCCTCTATTAATCTAAATCCAATATAGACAGAGTCCTTTTTTTTTGCTTCATTTAAATTTTATTTTCGGCGGTAGAAGGCTCCAAATGTGTCGGCAAAAGCCTAAAAACAGAGAGTGGTCCCAAATTATATCCGTTGGTGCAGTGACATCCCGTGACGCTCCAAACAAATTCTCATTAATTCTCCATAAACAATTGTGGGTCAAATCCACCGTCCCCGACAAAATTGCTTTTCCCCTCCTTTTTTTTCACCAAGAGAGAGAAAAAAATACCTCTTCGATCTTCAGTATGAAACCTATTTAACTAATTTGATTAGATTAAAAAAATTAGATAAGCTAGTTAATTATAAAAACCATTATATGTTTTTCTTAAAATACCATAATTATCTTTTTTAATATCCTTACTTCTTGATTATGGTTGAAGAAGTATTCATAGGGGTAATTTAGAAAAAATTGATAAATATGAGAAATAAATCTTATATTTAGGACCAAAATTAATTCAATAATCAGGTCTTATATTAAGGATAGGAGGAGTATTTTATTAACAAGAAAAATTAATTTTTTCCCTGAATTTGCCCTTCTAATTATCTTTGACATTATATCCAAAGTTACAAATATTTTTAAATGGGATAATTAATCTCCAGGTCCTTATAGTTTCATCTGATTTTTAATTAGGTATTTATAAAATTTTTTCTTTTTATCAAATCCTTTTACTTTCGTATGTTTTTAATTAGGTCCTTTTATTTTTATTTTTTATCAGGTCCTTATAGTTTCACTTGTTTTTTAATTAGGTGCTTTGTAGTTTTTGAAAAATTATTTATTAAATTTATTCTTTAAAATTAATTTCATTTTTAAACTAATAATTATATAATTGGACAAAATAATTAATATAATCATTTAGTAATTAATAAATAATCAGAGTAATAATTATACTTAAATATAAATTATTTATAATCATATTTTAATTTTAGAAAAATTTATTATTATAAAAATTCGAATTGAAAATAAATAATATATTTGTTTAACTAAAAATTTAAAAGAATATTAACATAAGATTGTTACAATAATTTATTATTTTTAAAATTTTATTATTTGTAAAATAAAAAAAAAACTACAAAGACCTAATTAAAAACAAAGTAAAACAATAAGGACCTGATAAAAAAAAATATAAGGACTTGATTAAAAATATATGAAAGTATAAAGACCTGATAAAAAGAAAAAAATTATAGGGACCTGATTAAAAACCAGTTGAAACTATAAGGACTTATATATTAATTATTCCTTTTTAAATTGAATAGTATGAAAGTTATTTTCCTTAGAAAAAGCTCACCGCTTAACTTGATATTCCAAAATGTCATTATCTGAGACTATTTAGTCCCCCTGTATCTTTTTTCAATTGGAAAACTAAAGTTAGGATATAATGTACATAATTTTTCTCTGACAAAACCTTTTTTTAAAAAAAACATTGCTGGTTTATTGCTTAAAGGTGCCTAGAAACCCAAGTCCTTAGACAAATACAATTTATTTTCAGTTGTAACGTGTGTTTAATTATATGCTAATGTCTTTTTTTTATATAGTTAAAAACAAGTTACCCCTAAGTTTTTAAACAAATTTTAGGTACCAAATCTTGGAATGAGGATTTTTTTTCAGCAATTTTCCTTGCAAATTTTTATAAATTTTGAAAATAATAAATATATAATTTCATTAAAAAGCTGAGAACATTTTTTGTAAATTAGTCAAGTTTTCAACCAGCCAAGAACCTCCCTGCTTCTCTGCGGATGGTCACTGTCTTCTATTTTGGACGCTTCCCTGTTCAGTCTATTTTCCGATGCTTCCAATTTGTTCGGAAATTTGTTTTTACATTCACACCAACCAATGTATCTTGCTTTACTTTTTCCCACAAAAAGAATTAGACGTATATTTTTTTTTCACCTCAAATTATATACATTGTTTAAAGATACAAAAATAAGAAATATTATTTAAAAAATAAAATTTATATACACTCATTCTTTTGTATTATGCCCTCTTTAATTACATGATTTGGTGTTTAATAAATCATCTAAAAAAACGGACTTAAAGATTAGTGTAAATATTTTATTAATTAGTGCCTGCAATAAAATTTTACAACATTGGAAGATCATCAAAGTGCTGTATTGCAAAAATTAAAGTGATGAGTTTCACATGCTAACTAGTTCGAGGATTGAAGTTATAAAAACGGGCCTTTTCTTCAATGATTGCAATTTGCTATTACTCTTCTTTTTTTTTTTGCATAAAAAGCAAAAATAATTTTAAGCTTAGATAAAGAAGTGGGTTCTATATGTTGCATTGTGATTCAGCCAGCTTTTTATTTTATGAGGTTTTTTATATGTAAGATTTGGTATTATCTGAATGGGAAAAAAATTATTTCGTTATGATAAAAAAACTTGTTATCAGTTACTTTTTTTATTTTTATGCCATTATAAATTGAAGAATGGCTTTGATTTAACTATATCCTAAAATTTTAAATAGGGTAATTTTCTCAAAACCCTGACTAATACTAATAAGGATTGATATATTGAATTAGGAAAAAGCAGAGTGAGGGATGGTGCTTTACATAGAAGCCAAGATGGGCTTTATAAAAAAATTACATTTTATAGATTTTATGTTATATACATATTATGTGTATAATTATGAGATTATTTATAAATTTTTCCTTTTTTTGTCATTTTTTCATCATCCAATTTTCTATTCTTTTCTTATAAGCATGTATATACTCCTATTAGAAGTAATCTTATCCAAGACAGTATCATATACTAAATATGAACATCTTCTTAATAATTTTGAACCTTATGTTTCATAGGAAAAATTTTGTTTAAGGACCGCAATACAGAATTAATTTCAAAGAGCTCCTAAAATTTTCTAAAACTTCACTGTAAGACAAGGGGGCAAATTGATATTAATTCCACACAAAAAAATGATGTTTTACCCCTCATAATACTTATTGTGGGGTGACATGTAAATGGATCAATTCTAGTTGTAAATAAAAGTATGTATGTTGCAAATTGTCTACTCCTATTTGCAAATGGGTTCTCCCACACTTGTTTATTCACAGACATCTTCTTCAAGTAGAAGAAGTGTGACATGTAAATAGACTAATTCTAGTTATAAATAAATATATGTATGTTGCAAATTGTCAAATCCTACTTGTAAATGAGTTCTT